ACCAGATCTCATTACAGATGGTTGTGAACCACCATGTGGTTGCTGGGAATTGAACTCAGGACCTCTGGAAGAACAGTCAGTGCTCTTAACCTCTGAGCCATCGCTCCAGCTCCACTACTTTGGATTTCAGTATGGCAATTTCTCAGAAAATTAGAAAACAACCTACCTCAAGACCCAGCAATACCACTTTTGGGTATATACCCAAAGGATGCTCAATCGTGCCACAAGGACATGTGCTCAACTATGTTCATAGCAGCATTATTTGTCATAGCCAGAACCTGGAAACAACCTAAATGACCCTTGACTGAAGCACGGATAAGGAAAATGTGGTACATTTACACAATAGAGTACTACACAGCAGAAAAAAAATAATGACATCTTGAAATTTGTGGGCAAATGGATGGATCTAGAAAGCATCAAATTGACTGAGGTAACCCAGACCCAGAAATACAAATATCATACATACTCACTCATAAGTGGCTTTCAGACATAAAGAAAAAAAAGCATCCTACAATTCACAATCCCAGAGAACCTAGACAACAATGAAGATCCTAAGAGAGATATACATGGAGCTGATCTACATGGAAATAGAAAAAGACAAGATCTCCTGAGTAAATTGGGAACATGGGTACCATGGGAGAGGGTAGGAGCGGAAGAGAAAAGAAGGGAGGGGAGCAGAGAAAAATATATAGCTCAATAAAAACAATTTTAAAAAATTGGCATTAGGGGGCTGGAGAGATGGCTCAGTGGTTAAGAGCACTGCCTGCTCTTTCAAAGGTCCTGAGTTCAATTCCCGGCAACCACATGGTGGCTCACAACCATCTGTAATGAGGTCTGGTGCCCTCTTCTGGCCTGCAGACATTCACACAGAATATTGTATACATAATAAATAAATAAATATAAAAAAAAAACTGGCATTAGTTAGAAGGCATTATCTTCTATAAAATTACATGCACTCAGAGAAGAGTACATTATTAAAAACAGTTTTAATAAGCTGGAAAGATGATTCAGTGGTTAAGAGCACTTACTTGCAAAGGATCCGAGTTCAGTTCCCAGCATCCATGCAGGGTGGCCTACAAGCACCTGCAACTCCAGCCTCAGAGGATCTGACACCCCTGGCTTCTGCAGGTACCTGCACTCATATACATAGCCTCACAAAAGACACACAGACACACACAGAGAAGGAGAAAGAGAGAACAGATTCAAAAAAAAAAAAAAAAAAGAGGCTTAAGACCATAGCACTGAAGCCACAGCGGACATGCCTATAATCCCAGCACTCAGAAGGCCAAAGCGGGAGGACACTGTGAGCCTGAGCTACACAGCAAGTCTCAGGCTAGCCTGGGTTACACTATGACACCCTCTCTCAAACAAAAACTGGGGCATGGTGGTACAGCCGACAACCCCAGCACCTACCTCCCAGGGAAGTAGAGGAAGAAGGATCCTGAGTTCAGGGACACCTTCAGCTACTTTCTGAATTAAGGTCAATCACTTAAACAGGGCTACATGACCATAAAGGTTGCACAATTACAAAGTTCCGAGTTTGATTCCCTAGAACCTACATTAATAAAAAGAACAAAGAAAAAAAGCCTGGCATAAAAACGAAAAAAAGCTGGAAGCTGAATGTGCATAACTATAATGCTACCACTCAGAAGGCAGAGGCAGAATTTCAGTCTGTCTCCTAGTTACATGGGAAATTCAAGGCCGGTCAGGAATAAAAAAAAAAGAGAGAGACAGAGACAGAGACAGAGAGAGAGAAGGGTGCAGTGCAGCAGCAGCACCCACGGGCCAGAGCACTGGGGAGGTGGAAACAAGCCAGCCTTGAGGCAGTACCTCTGCCCTCCACATACACAGCACACGTGGGCACACACACAAACCAATATAGTTCATGCAGCTCACCACAACCTGTAACTCTAGTTCCAGAGGATCAAATACCGACTCTTTTTACTTCGGGAAACATCAGGCATGCACAAGACACATAGATACACATGCAGGAAAAGTACCAATACACACAAAATTAAATATAAATTCTAAAAAAATGAATTCATTTTGTGTAGCAATTTAATTTCATAGAATTATGCTAGCCAACATTAAATATTTTTCAATCATATGTATAATCAACAAAGAGATTATGTTTCCAGCCTTTACATTTTCCACAAGTCTTTGACAAGATGCAGGTTAGACCAAGTGACAAACACAGCAGCAGAATTCCAAGAACCAGACAGACTTTGTTTGCACTTCCGTGATAATCTGTGCTCGCAGGCTCGCCCTGTGTGCCTTGGTAAATCAGCTTGGTAACCAAGTCGGGAGCAGCCTGGGAGATCTACGGGTGGAAAGAACCTAGAGGTGGCCCAGCCCCACCGGGCTCTGCTGGAAGAATTCCAAGTCTACTGTTTCACAGCATGCTTCTTTTCTCTTTGGAGTCTTTCAGAATTGGTTAAGATTTATGGACCCAGAATAACAAATCACACACAAACGCTCTGAATACTTATCTCAGGGTTTGGTTTGGAGGTTCCCTGTTAACACACTGCGCCTCCTCTTCTGATTGTGATGGCTCCACACCCTGTTTCCTTATCAGAGCTCTGTAACTCTATTAGACTTCAGATCAGCTAAAGACACCGAGAATGGCAGACTATAAGGCGAAGAAAGTCTTGCCTATAGCGCTCATCCTGGATGAATTTTTTATAGATCTCATCTATAACTTTCTTGGGACTTTTTAAAAATCACTCCATAGTATATTTTTATCGTTAATAGGTAAGACATTATTAAAACAGAAAAAGTAGGAACAAAAGGGCAACCATAGAAATGAAAGAGTGTTTAAAATTCCGTGTTAAAGAAAGCAAGCCTGTAACATTACAAGTTACCCACAACGAAGGCATTCCTCGGAGGCAGTGTTTCGTGCCTTTCCCACTTCTCCTTAGGACTGAGGGCAAATACACAGAACAGCTAACAAGCTTTTCAAAGCACACTGAGCCCTGGGATCCAACTGTCAATACCAGCAAAACTTCTGGTTGGTTCTCTTCTAAGGCCTGCTGAGTTATAATAGTAATGAGAACTTTTAAAAAATATTTATGATGTATACAGTGTTCTTCCTGTATGTCTGCCTGCAGGCCAGAAGAGGGCACCAGATCTCATCATGGGTAGTAGTGAGCCACCATATGCTTATTGGGAATTAAACTCAGGACCTCTGGAAAAACAGCCGCTGCTCTTAACCACTGAGCCATCTCTCCAGCCCCAGTAATGAGAATTATAACTTTGGCTTTGCATTACTTATTAGAAAATAAAAACAACTGAAAATAATAGATTTAATGGTCAGGAGATCAGGAGGGACAATTTCCTTGGAGCTGCAAGAATGCTTTGGTTGTACAGTGATTTCTCTCTGTTCAAAAAGGAAGCACAGCAGGTATCTAGGAAATATGTGCAGACAAAGGAGAGGAAGAACAAAAGAAAAGTCAATCTGGCTGGGCCTCGGTGGCACAAGCACTCGGGAGGCAGAGGCAGGTGGACCTCTATGAGTTCGAGACCAGCCTGATGTACAGAGAGTTCCAGGATCAGCCAGAGGGGAGAGGGGAGAGGAGGGGAGAGGAGGGGAGAGGAGGGGAGAGGAGGGGAGAGGGGAGAGGGGAGAGGGGAGAGGGAGAGAAAGAGAATTTGGATCTATAGGTATAGCTCAGTTGGTAGAGTGCTTGCCTAGCACACACAAGGCCCTGGGTTCAAGTCTCAGCACCATGTAAACGGCATGGTGGGGCACACCAGTAATCCCAGCACTGAGGTAGGATCAGAAGTTCAAGGTCATCCTCCACAACGTAGTAATGAATTTGAAGGTAATCTGGACTACTAAGAGTCTGTGAAGAAACAGTGGGAGAAATAGAGTGGGAAGAGGGAAAGAAGAGGAAGAGAGAGAGCAGGGGGAAAAGAGAGGGGAGAAGGAGAATGAAGAGAGGCGGGAAGGGGGTGGGGGAGGGGCAAACCCACACCCTTCCGTGTAAAAGGAACTGGTTCTGTAAAAAGCAATGACAGGATGGAAGCCCGGTGCTAAGAACCTGAAACTGCCCACTGTGGACATTCTAGGAGGGTGTGGAGGGAGGGACACCCAGGACCAGATTCTCTAGGGTCGTACACATCACTTTATCTAACTTGTCTCCAAATGACTTCTTCATCCCCAGCTTCCATCGCTGTAGCAACTAAAAGCAGTGCCTAACTGCTGTTTTTCTACCCCAGGAAAGTAGGTCAGCTGAGTTCCAAGAATGTTAGTTCTGGTTATCGGAGTTTTAAGAATTTTAAACCTTCCCAAGGAACACCATGGGCTGTTTTTAGCAAAAATGGTTCACAAAACAAAGCAAAAACCACAAACAGTCTGTTTTTTCTTAAAATTGTCTTCTTGAAAAAAGAAATACCCACTGACAGCCGAGTCAGGAGCCTGAAACGCAACACGCGTATCAATTAGATCATAATATAAATATCAAAGATGTCTACATTTTCGCGCCTAAGCTTATGGCACTTAACTGCCAAAAATAAAAAGCATGCCGTGCTCTAGTTCGCTCACCAGCACACACGAACCAGAAAGATGTTCTTTTGACTCTACCTGGAAACCACTGTGCAAGCTCAACCCATACACAAATTGTCCGACAAGTTGAACTGGGCTAGCACCCGGAAAACCGCAAAAGCCAGAAACGATAAACAGAAAGTACTTCGCTGTCTAAAACACCAAGCACTCAGAGCAATAATGAAAGAGTGTTCGCAGAAAGAAGGGAAAGGAGGTTTCGGTGGCTGAGGGAGAGGAGCTACCGCGGGGCTACGGGAAGGAGGCGGACGGACGGCAACGCCCCCTTCCTTAGTGGAAAGGGAAGGAACTGGGGCGTGGAAACCGCGGCTTCCCGAACGAGGAGGCCGAGCAGCGGCGGCCTCGAGCCCACAGCTCCCCAGCCCTCAGGTCCCCAGCCCTGACCCTGGCCCGACCCCCGACCCAGCGCCCGCTCCTCCACCACCGCCGCTGGCCTCACCAGCTGCAAGCCTTTGAGAATGCGCCGAAGCCACGGCAGCCGGCCCAGGAAGAAGTAGGCGGCTAGGCCGCTGCGCGCACTCCGGCCCGCGCCCGGGGCCGCCTCGGTGGTGGGACTGTACACTGCTCCGTTCTCCATCGCTGCTAAAGTCCTCGCCCAGCAAAAGTCTCCGCGGCGCAGCAGGGGGCGTCACTTCCTGAGACTCCGCCCCCGCTTCCGGTCAGCTCCGCCCTCACCACGCCCACTCAATCGCCGCGTCCCGGCCCGTAGAAAGTCCCTCGGTTCGCCACGCCCCTTGCCACTCCTCCCAGCTTCGCCGCACCCCCAGTTCGCCACGCCCCCTCCACCTTTCCGGCTCTCCTGTTAACTCTTGAAATGCTGGTAATTGAGTTCCACGCTTTCTGTGGACTTCTGGCTTTTTTTTTTTTTTTTTGGTTTGGGGGTGGTTTTTGTTTTTTTTTTTCCATTACATGTATTTTTTAATCTAGCTATCTAGGGGCACTGTGTGGAGATCGAGAAACTATTCGGGGAGTCAGTTCTCCTATCCCTTCGTGTGGATCCTGAGAACTGAATCATCTTTAGGAGTGGCGGCTGGTGTCTTTACCCACAGAGCCATCACTCCGCCCAGGCTTTAAGTATGGTTTCGATCTGATTTTTTTTTTTTTTTTTTGAACAAGATCTCACCATGCAGACTAACCCAGAACTCAGTAGTAGCTCCTGGAATTAGTGCCAATCCTCCAGCCTTGACCTCTAAAGTGCTGGGGTTACAGGCATGCACTCCTCCATGTTCAGCCTGTTTTGTTTTTAAAAGGTGTCCGGGATGGAACTCAGGGCCTTCGGCATGCTAAAACCCACACACCCCTGTTGAGTTGTACCCGCAACCTCCTCCTGTGGAGTTCTGATTTATTTTTCACTTCCCACTATCGTGGGATATTTGCACGCTGTGTGAAGATGTACTTGCTGCGATTGGTGTAATAAAAAGCTGACCGGCCAATAGCTAGGCAGGAAGTATAGATGGGATGTCCGGGGACAGAAAGAAAGCAGAAGAGACTGTAGGCCCACAAGAGATGCCAGGAGATGTAGAAGAAGTAGGGTGGGCAGTAAGTGACAGAACATAGATTAATAGAAATGGGTTAATATAAGTTAAAAGAGATAGTTAAAAACAGCCAAAGCGGGGGCTGGAGAGATGGCTCAGAGGTTAAGAACACTGACTGTTCTTCCAGAGGTCCTGAGTTCAAGTTTCAACAACCACATGGTAATCCGTAAGGAGGTCTGGTGCCCTCTTCTGGCATGAAGGTGTGCATGCAGACAAACTAAATAGATAATAAATGTTTAGGCCGAGCTTTCATAATTAGTAAGAAGTCTCCCTGTCATTATTTGCCAACTGGCTGATCCATTTTTCAGATCATCATCTTTTCTTCCGTGCGGATGGTGCACACGTGTATGAAGGTGCAGGCTCACACGTGTGAATGTGGAGATCTCAAGTCAGCCTTGGGCATTGTCCCCAGGCAGGATCTCTCACTGAACCCAGCTCATCAGGTAGGCTAGAATAAAATGGCTCTGAAGGCTCAGAGGTGTGCCTGTCTCCGTGGCCCCAGAACAGTTCAAAAACCACCATACCTGGCTTTTTCACGTGGGTTCTAGGAACTGAGCTCATGCCGTCAATGCCGACAAGCACGTTGTCACAAAGCTGTCTTCCAACTCTTATTTTTCAGTATTGTCGGGATGTCTGTAGTACAACTGAAAACCAGATCTGGGTATTAAGTTTACTGCCGTGTGCCAACCAAAGACACAAAACCATTCCCAGCAGGACACTAGGCAGAGTAATGAAAGTTCTAAAGGACAATTAATAAACAGATTAATCAGAATATTAGATATTGATAAATGACATGAAGGAAGATACTGACCATGCCAACCTATGATTTTTCAATTTTAGATTTTTTTTAACTTAATGATAGTATAGAATCCATCCATATTCAGCAGAAACCACTTTTTGACCTGGAAATTGGCTCTTTTCAATAAATGATGTGAGATAGTCAACTATTATTTTGTAAAATTAGGTTTATTATTTTAAAATTTTTTACCAAATATGGGCTAATGTAACTATGTTTAGGGAAGGCTAAACAAATATACTCTATTTAACAGGGTTAAACACATTTGCAACTGTTCATAATTTTTATGAAACGAATTGTTCTACCAATCAACAGACTGCTGAACTGACCAGACAGTTCTCAAAAGAAAGATAAATGGCCAATGAGAACGTAAAGAGTTCAGCTTCCTTAACTTCAGCAAAATGCAAACCAAGGCTGCTGTGAGAACGGGCTCACCCCAGGCAGAAGGAGCGAAAGTCACAAAGACAGACCTCTGCTCTCTACTGTGAGAGTGCCCACTTGTGTGTCCACCATGGAAATCAGTGCGGGGTTCCTCAAACCACTGAAAACAGAACTGCCGTTCCACCACTATGCCATTCCTGCGTATTTACACAAAAGCTCTTGGGTCGATGTACCCTAGAGATCCTTGCACATGTTTCTAGCAGCGTGTTCCCAATAACCAGGAACTGGAGCCAGCCTGGATGTCCACCAACAGAGGAACGGGCCAAGAAAATACAGTACGTATACACAGGGAAATTCTTTCAACAGTTTTTTTGTTTTGTTTTGCTTTTTTCAGTGAAATCATGACCTATGCAGGAAAAGGAATACAACTGAGTGTTACTGTTAGGTGAAATAAGGCAAACTCAAAATGGTCTCTGACATGCAGATCCTAGGTTTAAAATGATATGTATGGGACTGGGAGATGATTTGCTGGTTAAGAGCAATTTCTGCTCTTTTATGGGACCTGAGTTCAGTTTCCAGCACCCACATAGAGTAACTCACAAGCAACCCACTACTCCAGTTCCAGGGGATCCAGTGTCCTTTTTTGTCCTCCCCTGACATATACACACAAACACACATACACACACAAACACATAAAGAGAAAGAGAGCAAGAGAGAGAGAGAAATACAAAAAAAAAAAGGTTTAAAAAATAAAATTTAAGGGCTGGAGAGATGGCTCAGTGGTTAAGAGCACTGCCTGTTCTTCCAAAGGTCCTGAGTTCAATTCCCAGCAACCACATGGTGACTCACAACCATCTGTAATGAGGTCTGGTGCCCTCTTCTGGCCTGCAGACATACACACAGAGTATTGTATATATAATAAATAAATAAATATTTTTAAAAATTTTTTTAAAATAAAATAAAATTTAACTAATTGTGTACGCCTTCATGTGTCCTGTATATTTGTATACTATGGACATGCCGCTGCCTGCAGAGGTCAGAGGAGGGCATCAGAGTCCCTGGAACTAGGGTCACAGGTAGCTGTGAACTGCCATGTAGGTGTTGTGAATCAATCTTGGGTCCTTTGCAAGAACAACAAGTGCCCTTTAACCACTGAGCCATCTTTCCAGTCTCAGAATAATTTTTTAATCTAATTTAAATTTGTGAATGTGTGTGTGTTTGCATAGGTGTATTTGTAGATCATGAAACTAAAAAAGGGCTCATGACAGCACTCAGGAGGCAGAGGCAGGCGGATCTCTGTGAGTTCAAGACCAGCCTGGTCTACAGAGCTAATTCCGGGGCAGTTAGGGCTACAAAGAGAAGCCTTGTCTCAATAACTAAACAAATAAATAAAAGAGCGGGAAGGAGATGCTGAGAGAGATGGGAGGGAGGACAACAGAGGGCAGGAAACAGAACTACAGACTGAGGGAAGAGAGGGCGCCCGCTGAAGGGGAGGGAAACAAATGACGCCCAAGAACAGTAAAACACAGATGAAATACCACAGCGAAAACCACGCATTCTATGCTGACCTAAAATATGAAGATCGGGCTGGAGATGCAGGTCAGTTGGTGGAGGACTCGCCTAGAACGCATGAAGTCCTGGGTTGCAACCCCAACGACACATAGTTGATGGCACACACACTAATCCCAACACCCTGGACGTGGAGGCGGGTGGACCAGAAGTTCAAGGTTACCTTTGGGCTACACAGCAACTGAGTTTGAGGACAGTCTGGACTACATGAGACTTTGTCTCAAAACAATTAATTTAGTCCAGCAAGATGGCTCAGGCAGTAAAAGTGTTTATCTCACAAGTGGAAGGAGAGAGCAGACTCCTGAAAGTTGTCCTTCGTTGTGAAATAAGCTTTTTGTACACTGTGAAGATGTGTCACTCTGACTGGTGTAACAAAAATCTGAATGGCCAATAGCTAGGCAGGATTTCTGGGCAGAGAGGATACTGGAAAGAAGGATGAGATGCCAGGAGACACAGAGCAAGCAGGATGGGTACTATGGAGATAAGGTAATAAAGTCAAGAGGCAGAAAGGAAATTAATACAAACAGGTGAAGCTATAAGAGCTAGTTAGAAACAAGGCAAAGCCATTGGCCAAACTTTCATATTTATAATAAGCCCATGTGACATTATTAGGGAGACAATAGTCCCACTGGAAAAGTCCCACGACAGTCCTCCATATGCACAGTGTGTCGTGTATACACCCATACCCGTGCACACACTCATAAGAATAAATTTCCATTTAAAAGTTCGATATTGGGGGCTGGAGAGATGGCTCAGTGGTTAAGAGCATTGCCTGCTCTTCCAAAGGTCCTGAGTTCAATTCCCGGCAACCACATGGTGGCTCACAACCATCTGCAATGAGGTCTGGTGCCCTCTTCTGGCCTGCAGACATACACACAGACAGAGTATTGTATACATAATAAATAAATAAATAAATAAATAAATAAATAAATAAATAAATATTAAAAAATAAAGTTCGATATTTCAGACACAGAAAGACAATTATCACAGGTACTCACTTATAAGTGGTTTTTAAACATAAAGCAAAGAAAATCACAATCCCAGAGAACCTATGAGGACTCTAAGAGAGACTTACATAGATCTAATCTATATGGGAAATAGAAAACGAAAAGATATCCTGAGTAAATTGGGAGCATGAGGACCTTGGGGGAGGGTTGAAGGGGAGAGGAGAGGCAAGGAGGGGAGCAGAGAAAAATGTAGCGCTCAATAAAATCAATTAAAAAAAGAAAAAAGTTTGATATTTCAAATTTATGGTGGGTTCACAGGGACCCTGTACTGGTGATGCAGTGAAAAACACACACTTACAGATGAAGGGTCCCTTCATAAATGGGTGGTGGGGAAAGGTGTCT